CAGAAAAAAGTTGAAGGGAGGCCAGAGATTTATCTGGGCTCACGGTTTGAGCAGCCATAATCTATAATGGCAGAAAAGGGACAACAGAGTTCACGGTGTCCAGAACATGTCCGGGGCTCCTCAAATCTCCATAGAGCCCTTGAGGGAGACAGAGAGGGAGAACTTGGGTCAGAAACAGGTTCGGCTGACCAGCGTGTGGTGGTGCATGCCTTTAATCCCTGCACCTGGGAGGTAGAAGTAGGTGGCTCTCTGAGTTCAAGGCCAGCCTGATCTACAGATTGAATTTCTAGGACAGTCAGGGCTTTATAGAGAAACCCTGTCTCAAAAAATCAATGGGGAGGGATGTGAAGAAAGAGACAGGCTCAACCATGACCCATAAGGCCAGACTCTATTGATCGCTTCTGCAGCCACGCCCCATGTACATGTACATGTACATGGCATGTACAAACATGCCAAGTTTGTACAACCTTCCTGAACAGCACCACCACATGGAGACGGAGTAACTTGTTCAAATACTTGGGCCTGTGGGAGACATTTCATATTTAAACCATTACACCTTCTACCGTGGGAATGTGTAGTACGAAAGTTACAGAAGCAGGCCCTCCTCAGACACTGAATCTGCTGGCGGCTTGACTGTTGGACTTCCCAGACCTTAGAACTCTGAGAAACTAATTCCTGCTGCTCCTAAGCCGACAGTCTACCCCAGTCTGCGACAGCAAGCCTCTCCTGGCACGGTTGTTTCTCTGCTCTTTTGGTTGGTTTATTATCCAATCAGGGTCCGGGCTCTTTTTGTTTGTTTGTTTTTAAACAGTCTCACTATGTAGCCTGGCTGAAACTAATTCCCTAGACTAGGCTTGCTTCAAATACACAGAAATACAGCTGCCTCTGTCTTCCAAGCGCTGGGCTTACAAACTTGACCCATCACCTGGGCCTTGTTTGATAGGCTGGGAGCTCCTCTTGCCATAGGCCTGATGGGCAGGTGCCATTACCTATCCCTACTGCACTGACAAAAGAACCCTGACCCACAATGATTATCGTAACTGAACCTGCCTTTCCTCAAACTTCCCTGGAAGTCTAACTATTCAGTTAGCTATTGCTTGTTGTGGCATGCACCTTGGATCTCTTATTCCCACTCATTTCTCTTACTATCAACTCAGAATGGGTACCCCATTCCTTATTACAGAGTATATAAAACAGAGGCTCATCTACACCTGCACAACCGTGTAGCGTATTTACACAGCAGGTAGAACTGGATTCTGAGGCAGTCTTGGGGTATCGTTATTGGTCATCACAGAACTGGCTTCAGGTGAGCTGTGCCTCAGGGGTGTTTTCTCTGGATTCCAAATTCTACAGGAAGGGGGGGGCAGGGAGGAGAGGCATAGTTCCAAAAATTTATAAATTGAAATGTCCTAAATGAAAGTCCAGAAAGAGATTTATCTGTCTGTCTGTCTGTCTATCTATCTATCTATCTATCTATCTATCTTTTTTCTTTCTCTTTTTTGTTTTTTTGAGAAAGGGTTTCTCTGTGTAGCTTTGGCTGTCCCGGACTTGGACTTGCTTTGTAGACTAGGCTGGTCTCAAACTCACAGAGATCCGCCTGCCTCTGCTTCCCAGAGTGCTGGGATCACAGGTGTGCAGCACCACAACTGGCCTTCCATCTATCTATTCATCCATCCATCCATCTATCCATCCATCCTCTCTGTTGAAATCTGCAACAATGGAGCCCCCCCCCCCCAGAGGCTAATGGGAAAAAGATGAAGGAAGGGCTTCTCTTAGCCCTGCAGATGCCTGGGAAACCCCTGTAAGCCTTTGACGGATTTTGTATTCTCCAATAGTCAAACTCCTTTAGGTTGTGTATTTATTTGACAGGATTTCTTGTATCCGGGGCTTGAAACAGCTCTGTAGCTGAGGACCTTGAACTTCTGATCCTCCCGTTTCTAGCTCTGCCTTCTGAATGTTGAGTTTGCAGATGTGGGCCACCACACCCAGTTTTAGCTTTATTTTTTTGAGACACAGTTTTGTTACACAGCCCAGGCTAGACTCAAACTCACAGTCTGCCTGCGACTACCTCCTGAGAGCTAGGGTTACAGGTGTGCACTGTGATGCCTAGTGGAACCCCTTATTTTAGATATGAGGAAACTGAGCCCCAAGACAGTTATTCCCTCTGAGTAACCCAAGCGTCCTCAGCCCAGCAACTCTCGCCGCTTTGCGCCCCACTGCCCAGTTCACAAGGCCCTGCCCCATGCCTTGCCTGCACACAGGGACGGAGGTCAACAGACGCTTCAGGACCCCACAGGCACTTGAGCCACTTTCACACTGGGCATGGTGGCACATTGCCTGAAGGCGGTGGAGAGAGGAAGAAGTTCAAGATCATTCTTGGCTAAAAATAAGTTTGAAGCCCTCTGGGTGACATGTGATCCTGTCTCAAAGCAAAAATAAACATCAACCACCACCACTAAAGAACCCATCACATTAAAGAAACAAAACAAGAATTTCTTCCCCCTTCCCTCATCCCTTTCAAGCAAAGGGCAAAAACAACAAATGAAGCACATGGACCAGATTAACCCAAAAGGTTCTTGATCACAAGTTTCGCCCATTTCATTCTGGGGCTCCTTCTGAGTGTTTAAGGAAATACTTCTCCAGATGCAACTTTGTTCCAATTCTGAGACAGCCTTAGTTTCACTTTCAAATCACTGCGTAGTAGTCTGCTAAAATGTTGAGTAACCTCCAGTAAGAAGGGAAACTGGAGGGTGGGGCAGGGCAGGGCGGGATGAGTGAGAAATAGCTTGCTCTGAGGGCGCCACCAGGGAGTAACAGGCAGTAATTAATAACATGGCGGCCAGAGTCACAGCCCTGTGTTAATTAAAGAGCCACCTCCTCTCTGGCTTACTCTCTAGGGCCCCCTGGAGGCGATCACAGAAGGTAATGATTCAGTCTGATGCTGTTCGCATCTATTGGTGGGGACAGGAAAGCCAGGTCCTAGAGAAACAGAGAACAGCTACACAAACCCAATAATAATCGTTCCTGGGCGGCCAGACTAGCTGCAGGAAGTCATTGATCTGTACATCAGAAAGTTCCAGACACATCTTAGATTGAATTTTTATAGCCCAGGCTAGGGCTTTTGTCAGGAGAGTGGTGGGGTCTGGAGAGAGCGGCTTCAGGATTAGCATTCGGTAGAAGCCAATTGGCAGACTGCAAACCTTTCCCACGTGAACTGCCTGCAACAGTGGAAGCATACGTGAGAAAATCAGCTACAGGAGTGCACAGAGGTGACATACAAAAGGCGAGGAGCCTCATGGCCCCAGAGCTTTTGAGTGGCTCCGTCTTTCCCATTCTCTAGTCCACTCCCACTCTCCAGACTCTGCCTTTCTGCCTTTGTTTGGTTTTGTCATCTTGTCTTTCTGTCTGTCTGTCTTCATTGCTGATTTTTGTTGTTTTTTGAGATAGGGTATTTTCTTTGTTGCCCTAGCTGTCTTGGAACCCGCTCTGTAGACTAGGCTGGCCTCGAACTCACCGAAATCAGCCTGCCTCTGCCTCCCGAGGGCTGGGATTAAGGCATGTGCCACCACCACCCCGGTGGTTTTCTGTTTCTTAGTGAACCGTTTCTATTTCTATGAATATTACTGACCATTTATCTGTTCTGTACCTTTGACACAAGAGCCTGGTGCTTCAGTGGGTACTCCCTGAGACTGAGCCATATCAGAAACAGGCTCATATTTTAGTGTGTCAGGAGGGTCCCCCAGGTTAAAGTGCAGTCTGCATGAGCCCTGGGGCCAAGCCTGGGATTCTAAATTTCTCCTAAATTCTCAGGTGATACTGCGGCTCAGGACGGTGGGTTGACTTGTAAGAATTACCAACAGTACTGACGCCTGCATCTTGGCATTGGGTTGGGGAAGAAAATTGAACATTAGGGTTGTCCATGGCTTCCAAGAAGATTCTGGTGTGAAGTAGGGTCTGGTATGTAATCGCCTGAGGCAGTAGCTTTGCACTATCTGAGGGACTAGGCACACAGCTCAGTTGGATGAAAGCCTGCTTCACATGCAAGAAGCTGTGGGCTCTAGCCTAAGCACCAAAGAAACACCGACATGGTGTCCCATCTGAAATCCCAGTACTTGGGACATAGAGGCAGGAGATCAAGGTCATCCTCAACTACATAGTGGATTTAAGACCAGCCTGAGTTACAAGAGACCCTGTCTCAAACAGAGTCAGGTAGACTGGTTAAAAATGGCAGCTCGAGCTGCCTTCCTGAGCTGATGTAGAAGGTCCAGCCTGGCCTGGTCTTCATTTCTAACAGGGTGCTGCTGGAGCTGCCAGCTCTGGGGCTCACACAGAGTGAAGCGCATCACAAGGAGGGGACTACTGGGCATCGCTGCGTCACCGGCGGTAACCAGCTCACCGCCTCTGTGGGATTTGCTAGCTCTCTATCTATTCCATGTGCCTTAGTTCAGGACAAGGCGCCTCTGCAGAACGGAGAGCGGTGGCCCTGTCCCCAGATCATGGAAAATAAGATTCGGGGACTCAGAAAGCTAGGCCACCTTTGGAGAAAGGGGGCTCAGCTACCTACTGTGTAAGCAAAGAGTGGAGGAGGCAGGCAACCAACCCTAGAACATGAGATGTCCAGTGGAAGAGTTCTCTTGAGGGGACCTAAATGCTTCATGTCAGGTCGCTGAAAACTTGGAGGTCATTGTGCTGATGAAGAGAAGAGGGGAGGAAGAGGAGGAGGAAGTGGAGAAGACAGATGTAGTGGTTTGTTCTCACGGCACCATTTATTCTGGAGGCTGAGGAAGTGAGGGCTGGTGAGCCCAGGAGTCTGAGGCCAGCCTGGGCAACAGTGTGACTCTTATGTTAAAAGAGGAAGTGAAAGAGGGGAGGGGGGAGGAAGAAGAAAAAGAAAGAAAGCACTATGCTACACATACAACCAAGCTTGAAGATGGCGCAGAGATGAGGCCCAGCAGACTATAAAAATATCATTTTTATAAAATTCTATAAAAAAATGTGTGTGCTCCTGGGTTTGACAGCATGCATCTAAAACTGGAACAATTAAAAAGATTAGTATGGTCCCTATGTAAGGATGACATAGAAATTCTTGAACCATTCCACACTTTAAAATCTAATCCTTGCTTTAAAAAAAAAAATCCATTTTTATCTTTCTCTAAGACGTCTCCTTGGCTTACTTATTTTTAATTTCTTTCGGGGACATCTTCCTGGCCATTAGCCTGAGGTGGGAAACACCGTTAATCCTCCTCAGCTGAAAACAGCCCTAAAGCTGTGGGAAGACACTAAGCAGATAACCTGCTGCTCCTCAGCATCCCCACAGACCTCTTTGTGTCTCTACCTCGCACACTGTACTAGAACATTCTGTGGTCGCGGGGAGCAGGATTGGGTAACATCTCTTCCTAGGAAGTTTGCAAACATTTCTTTGGGGGCAGGGGATGAGTATTGAAGCCCAGGCCTCTCTGTCATGCTGAGCTATAACCCCCAGCTCCTATAAACATATTTTAAAAGCTGAATAATGTACTTGGATAAAATGCTGCTATAGAAAAAAATGACACACATATTCAGCTTGGAGGTCTGAGAAGCCAGTGTGCCATTAAGTCATAGAAATCCTCTCCGGTATCTCCAGCTGGCCATTCAAACTCCTACAGAGAGCTATTATTTAATTACACCACAAACAGAATTTTTGCAATTGTTTCCAAATAGCCTTTCCCGGCCTGCTGGGGTCTCAGGCTGAACTGATGTATGGTAAGTCTAATTTTTTTTTTTTTTTTTGGTCTGCTGATGGAGAGCTTTAAATATTGCTTTTGTTTTGTTTTATTTTGTTCTGTCATTTGCAGACTGTAAATTCCATGGCAAAGCAGAACCATGTATTAGGTAAAGGATCATTTTTTTTTCTCCCTCTCTCCAAAATATCATGTCAAACATTGAACTTGAAAATGATTGTTTGAAGCTGGAGAGATGCCTCAGTGGGTAAGAGCCAGTGCTGCGGAAACACTTGAGTTCAGATCCCGGTACCGACACTTAAACAAAAAGCTGCCATAGCTGTGTGTGTTTGTGTGGGGGCTCTAGCCACAGTGCTGTGTCGGTGGATACAGGAGGGTCACTGAGGCTTGCTGGCTGCCCGGCCTAGTGCATGTTCAGTGAGTGTCCCTGTCTCACGGGAACACAGTGAAGGGCAGACACCCAGCTTCTTCCTCTGACTCTGCATGTGTACACACACACCACATACACATACCACACTACACACATACACCACATATGAGTACACACTACACACATCATACCACACACACACATACCACACACACACATCATACCACACATACTTTTTAGTGAGTAACATTCAAGTCCTTGATAAGTACATTTTGAGGCTCCTTTTGTGTCTGGGTTCATAATTCTGATCAAAGTGGACATAGCCCTTCCCTTCACAGCGCTTCAAGGCTGCAGCAGAAGAGAAGAGGCTACTGGCCAGCAGGCCACATGAGCCCGAGTACTCCCTTTTGTGTGTATAACCCCAAGGTGCAGAATTGAGAAAATCATGGACTGTCATATCTGATGGAAGTCCAGAGAGGAGGGCTTCAGCTTCCCTTAATCGTCTGTGAAGGGTAAAGAAAGGGCAGTGTTGTGTGACTTTCCTGAGAAGCTACAGACAACTCATACTTCCCCAGACAGGGCATGGAAAACAGATGGAAGAAACGATTCCATCCAGGAGAGGCTTGGAAGGCCTCTGCTCTCTGTGCTGGGGCAAGGCCCAAAGTCTGAACAGCACAGACCCCTGGGGAAAAGACTGCTGACTGACTCTCCTCCATTCCCACAGGAGCTTCTGAGTTCCCGCCTCAGTGGCAGGTGACCATGCTTTTGCTTCTCAGTCCTGACAGAAGAAGGGTTCCTGTGTCTGAGGGGCAGGACTGGTGTGCAGGGAGATGACTGCCATCCTTAGCGACAATATTTACCTCATGTGACAGTAACAGGTCACATGAGTTCAGTTTGCAAGTGAGAGGCTTTCACATCTGTCCTCCTTCAGCAATTCATGCGGCGCCCCAGGCATGTGCTCCCATGGCTCCTCACACGAGGCAGGAACAGAAGCAATGGGGGCCTCTCTGATGGGACCATAGGAAGCATGGGTCAATCTAGACCATAAAATACGAGTCTGTCTCAAATGTTTTTATTAGAAAATAAATAAGGGCCAGTGAGACGGCTCAGCTGATGAAGGCACAAATCTGACCAGAGACAAACTCCTACAGGTGGTCTTCTGACTGTCATACAAAGGCCATGGCAAGTACACACCTCAGGTGTGGACGAACACACATGTGCAGATTATCTGCTTATTTGTTTGTTTATCTGGCGCAAGGGAGCAAATCCAGGGCGCTGTTTCAGTCTGACCCCTACACCTCTATTCTGAGTCCGATTTACCCATGTCTTTACTTCTGTTCTTTGTGGTTTTGGGTGTCGTACAAGAAGATGTGGTCTGACCCAGGGAATAAAGTAGCATCTTTCGTCATCTTCTTAGAGTCTCATTTTAGTTTCAGGGCTTGGGGGCCAGTGGTCATTAGTGGATTCTAAAGGAGTCAGTATAGGGGGGAAAAAAAAAGGTGTCTAAACTGTAATCCCAGCACTTAGGGAGGCAGATGCAGTCAGAGCTCTGTGAGTTTGAGGCCAGCCTGGTCTACAAAGTGAGTCTAACACAGCCAAAGTCGCACAGAGAAACCCTGTTTCAAAAAACAGAAACAAACAAACAAAACAAAATCCCCCCACAAACCGGTATCTAAACAGTGCCTTGCTTCTTCTTGTCAAAGGAAGCATGCGACTGGAGGATGAAAACAATCTCTGTTTATCATCACAACTAGTCAAGAGTCCAGGAGCAGTGAGGGGATGGCTTTGTTGCTGGCTGCCTAGCTCAGAGTCAACAACTACCCCCCGCCCCCCAATTCTAGGGCCCGGCAGTGGTGGTGCACACCTTTAACCACAGCACTCAGGAGGCAAGAGGCAGGTGAATCTCTGTGAGTTCGAGGCCAGCCTCATCTACAGAGAGAGTTCTAGGATAGCCAGGACTAACTGAGAAACCCTGTCCCAAAAAACTAAAACAACAAAACCCCCAAAACAAAACAAACAAACAAAAAACACTGTAGTGAGACCTATCTCAAAACAACAAAACAGATCTCCCTCTCCCCCTCACCCCCTTTCTGTGAGGGAGGTGAGGATGGAAATAAGGTACAACTGCCACTGCACCTGTGCGGAGATCAGAGAACAGCTTCAAGGGTTGAACCTTACTTGTTGCTCACTGCTGCAGATGCCGGGCTAGCTGGCCCCCGAGCCTCCGGGGGCTCTCCCATCCCATCGTCTCTGTCTCTGTAGGGGCGCTGGGATTACAGATGTACCCTGCTGCACCAGATTTTCCCTGAATTCTGGTGATCCAAACGCGCGTCTCCATACTTGCATGGCAAGTGCTTCATCCATTCAACCATTTCTATCTGTCTAATCTATCTACCCTTTTATTTGGCGTCAGTGTGATCCTACCTCCATGTCCCTGGTCTGGCTACCCAAGCCCACGGCACACATTGTTCTCATCCAGCCGGGTCTCTCTCTAAAATGGCGGATTGCGCATCCCTACCCAGGAATCCACAGGGCCTTGGCGCTCTGCATGTCCCAGGCCTACTGGACAAATTCTCCTTCCTTCCCGTGGTTTCTCACCTGGTTTCCAGGCTCAGATCCTCTCCGTGGCCAAGCTAGAACCTGGAGATCAGCGACCCCCCTGCCGTCCCCCCCACAACCCCCATAGGTCCCGTCCCAGCAGGCCTAGTCTGGTTTGCCTGCACAGCGTTTCTGGAGTCCGCCCCTTCCTCCCACACCTTTCATGGGCCAGGCTTTCACTGAGGTGCCAGCTGCTTTCAGTACAGTGTTCCTCCCAGCAGCCAGGGATCATCTGCTTTCTTCAATCAGCTCACATCTGACCGGGAGAGCCTCTCCCCTTCTAACAGCCTCGCTCGCCCTTTGAGCTAGGACGGGAACCTGAGAGAGAATTCTGGAGCTCCTAGGCTTTGGTCCCTGCCCACCTTTCCAGCGTCATCGCTGCATACAGCCTGCTTTTCATCCAAAGCCAGGCGGGTTCTAGCTCTCAGGGCTTGGACACACTCTCACCCGTGCCGGGCGGTCCCTCTAACCAGACACACTCGATTCCTCCGCTAGACTCCCTGGCAGGCGCTCTCTTGCCTCCAGCCTTAGCATGCCTTCGTCTCTTGGGTGAAGTAAGTGCCATGATCTCCTGCAGTTGATGGCCCCTAGTTCATCTGACCTGGGTGAGATTTCATTGTGAGTTGAGATTTGATTGATTGATAACGATCTTGTGGGCCCGAGGATCAAACCTCACATATGCTAGGCAAGCCCACAACCCCAGACCGGGGGATTGATTCTGTTTTTCTTATAATGTAAAATATTTATTGATTTTGATTTTGTGCGCATGGATGTTTTACCTGCGTGTATGTCTGTACACTGCCGTGGGCTTGGTGCCTGTAGAGACCAGAAGCAGGCTTCAGATCCCCTGGAGCTAGAGTTTCAGACAGTTAGGAGTTGCTGTGTAGGTTCTGGGAACTGATCTTGGGTTCCCCTAAGCAGCAAGTGCTCTTAACCACTGAGCCATTTCTCTAGCCGTTATTATTATTGTTGTGATTATTATTGCAAGCCAGGTGGCACATGCCTTTAATCCCAGCACTCAGGAGGCAGGGACAGGGGGAAGCTCTATGAGTTCTAGGCCAGGCTGGTCTACACAGTAAGTTCAGGACATCGAGGGCCATTACACAGAGAAACCCTGTATCAAACACAACAGCAACAAAAGACAGAGTCACTAGCCCAGGATGCTCAAGCAATACTGAGAGTAGCTGAGACTATGGGTGTTTGCCTCTCTGACTTAAAAAAAAAAGATTGCCGCCAAACCTGGCAAGATGGCCCAGAGCACTTGCTGTTCTTGCAGAAGACTCAGGCTCATTCCCAGCAACACCTGCCCCCCCCCCGCCCCTCATGATGGCTAGTAATGATTTGCAATTCTAGTTTCAGGACCTGATGGCTTCTTCTGCCTCCCCAGGCACTGTATGGAAGTAATATAAATACGTACA